TTTATTTATTTATTTATTTATTTATTTAATTTTTTTTTTTCAACGTTTATTTATTTTTGGGACAGAGAGAGACAGAGCATGAACGGGGGAGGGGCAGAGAGAGAGGGAGACACAGAATCGGAAACAGACCCCAGGCTCCGAGCCATCAGCCCAGAGCCCAACGCGGGGCTCGAACTCCCGGACCGCGAGATCGTGACCTGGCTGAAGTCGGACGCTTGACCGACTGCGCCACCCAGGCGCCCCACGTTTATTTATTTTTGAGACAGAGAGAGACAGAGCGTGAACAGGGGAGGGTCAGAGAGAGAGTGAGACACAGAATCTGAAACAGGCTCCAGGCTCTGAGCTGTCAGCACAGAGCCCGACACAGGGCTTGAACTCACGGACCGCGAGATCGTGACCTGAGCCGAAGTCGGACGCTTAACCGACTGAGCCACCCAGGCGCCCCTGTACTGGAGAGTTTTAAGAAAGAAAATGATATATTGGCCAAAGCCCATAAATACAGAAGGAAATTTAGTATATGATAATGATATGATAATGATGACATTTAAATCAGTAAGGGAAAGATGTATGATTAAGTAAATCAACTTGGGTAAATGTGTAGCTAACAAGATATATGGTAAAGCTGGATCCATTCTGCTTAACTCACACCCAAACAAATTTCCTTTTATTTATTTATTTTAATGTTTATTTATTTTTGAGAGACAGCCACAGAGTGTGAGCGGGGGGAGGGGCAGAGGGGGAGGGAGACACAGAATCCGAAACAGGCTCCAGACTCTGAGCTGTCAGCACAGGGCCCAAAGTGGGGCTTGAACTCACCAACTGTGAGATCATGCCCTGAACTGAAGTCGGACACTCAACTGACTGAACCACCCAGGTGCCCCCCTAAAAAATTTCCTTTTAAAGGAAAAATGTGAAATCATGAAATATTTAGAGGAAACCATGGAAGCATTTTCAAAATAATCTAAGAATGGTAAAGGTCTTTCTAAGTATGATACAACCTGGAAATACTAAGTAGTAAAAAAAAAAAAAGCCTTGGTAAAATTCACCAATTAGAAATGGAAAAGATCTGCATTGCCAAACAAAACAAGACAAAACAAAAACACAAGCAAATAAAACAGTATAAAGAAAGTCAAAAGATATGGCAAGCTGAGAAAAAGTCTTGACATGCATATTTAAGAAAAGGACTCTTTTTACCATTATGTAAACCTTCTCTATCCAGTAGAAAATTGGACAAAATATGGGCACCCGGGTGGCTCAGTCGGTTAAGCATCTGGTTCTTGCTTTCGGCTCAGGTCGTGATGTCACGGTTTGTGAGTTTGAGCCCCTCATCAGGCTCTGTGCTGGCAGCGTGCTGTGTGCTTGGGATTCTGTCTCTCCATCTCTCTCTCAAAACAAACATTTTTTTTTTTTTAAAGAAAATTTGGCAAAATATATGAACGATAATGCACGGGAAGTAAATACAAATGTCTTTTTCACACTCCTCATAAGAGAAAGGCAAATCGAAACCTGTTGTCATCTCTCAGATTGGTACGTTCCATCCCAGATCTGGCCAAAATGGAGTAAGTCCACTGCAGCCTGTGTCCCCCACGGACTACTACCAAAACCTCTGGATAAAATATGCAAAAGAGGCTTTGCAAGTTGGAGAAAGTGGTGAAAACTGTTTTTCCTTCTCCCTCCTCCGGCCTGAGGCCAGTCAGAGTCACAGTGCTGCACTGTGGTAGTGACTTGGGGAAATGAGACCCTGAAAGAACACCTGTCCCCTGGACACAGGAAGTGGGAAAAGGGACCCCTGTTGTGCAAAGAGCATGAGGGGAATCCCCGTTATTTTTTTCTCTCTCTTCCCTCAATGCTGCCTTTAGAGCAGCCCCAATTGCACAGAAGTGCATGAGAGATAGGAAGCATAGGAAATTCCAAGAGAACCTTAGCCTTCTGGCCAGCAGAACTGGAAAGAGGAGGTCCTGGGAGCCAGAAGATATGAAGGAAATCCCCAAAAGGAGAGGGAAGGGAATCCCTAATTCTGTGTAGTGGTTTGTTATGCAGCAATAGGTAACTAATACAGGGACCCATGTCATTAACTCACCCCGGTCAGCCATTTGTGTTGTCCAACAACTGATTTGTCATACTTAACACGGAATGTTAACTTGTTAATTGTGGAGATGAAATGAGATTGTCCCTGCGAAAGGCATTTTTTAATATTTCCATTCAAATTTTGTCCCCCCTCCCCCCGCCAATCCTTCCGGTCATAGAAATGCCAGAAGATGAAGTCATATGGAGGGAGGGCCATTCAAGTTCAGGGGTTGTGAAGATAGGAAGACTGCAATTTTAAAAAGCCTAATAAGTAATTCATGTCTAAACCTATTGACTCGCAAACAATTTGTCCCAACTGCAGAAGAGAGAGAACTTCTGGACGTATCCATGCAGGGCTTACTAAAAAAGACAGCCATGTGAGAACTGACCAGTAAGGTTGTGAACTCCCGTGACAGAGCATTGGGGTTCTAGAAAGAATAACAAACAGCCCCTATCAAGTGACAAGCTTCTGTTCCCATTCCCTAGTCTCCCTCCTCCCTGTCCTGAACCTGGAAGACCCAGAAAAGGGGCAGAGGTGTGGAGGAGCAGATCTCACTTCTCTGGCTTGGCAGGACTTGGAGGCATTCCTCTGGGCTGACCTGGGTGTATGGAGGGAACCCTTATAAAGGGTTCATTCGTTGCTTTCTTTTGTTCAACTGAGGGTTATTGCTTGCCTGTTGTGGATCGAAGGCCGTTCCAGACACCGAGAATATATCAGCGGACAAAACTGACAAGAATCTCTGCCCTTGTGAAGCTTACATTTGGGAGAGACTGACAGTAAACATAATAATATAAAATGTTAGGTGATGCGTGCTGTGAAAAAAAGATATAGGAGAGCAGGTAGGGTAGATGGTGGGACGTGCAGGAGAGCAAGTATTACACAGGATGATCAGAAAGGGCCTCAGTGAGAAGGTGGGATTCTATTCCCTGGAGGGAGGAGAGGAAGTAAACAGTCTTCTTAATTAAGGAATGTAGAGGGAACAGCCGGGACGAAAACCCTGGGGTGGGAGCTGGGTGAGTGAGATCTAGGAAGAGCAGGGGGCCAACGTGGCTAGGGCAGAGAAAAGGGGAAAAGTAAGAAGTCTGAGAGATGAAAGGTGGCGGGGGACTTGTTCTGATATTTGAAAGTGACAAGAAAATTGGGGTCTGGACTGCAAGAGACCGGCCAGAGGAAAATGCGAAGAGGCCTACAGGTTTCCCTGGCTCTCAGAAAGCAGAGCATTTTTGTAAATTGAAAGGCGAAGAATAATCCTCGCACGACCTTGCTTTCCGAAAGTTCCCGTTAACGGAAGACCTACATTAGTACCTGTTTTCGCTACAGGAAAGAAATCTGAAGAGGATTACCGCTTTTACTAAAAAAGCTATCGCTGTAGTAATGGAGGTCTTTCGTAAGAGCAGGGATACCGGTATTTTTTTCTCCGCGTCTCTACTAGGCTCCACCCCCGCTAGGTGCGAAGGCCCAGCGAGGCCCCACCCCTCATCGGAAAAGCAGCCCATAAGACACGCCTCTCCCACCGTGGTCCCGCCTCCTCTCGGAGCGACAGCCCATAGGACACGCCCCCGCTCGCCGTGGCCCCGCCCCCTCCCGGTGGGGCCGCCCAACGAGGTCCCGCACCCCGGCCGCGGACAGCCCATAAGGCGCGCCTCTCCCACCGTGGTCCCGCCCCTCCTCGGGAGTGACAGCCCACCAGGCACGCCTCTCCCGTGCCCCGCCGCGTTCCCACTCCCGGCCAAAAGCCAGCCAGGCCCTTCCTACCTTTTCTCCGGAGCCGTTCCTGCCCCAGCCTTGGAGGGACTCCCCACTAGGCCCCGCCGCGCTCAGGGCGACGCGGTGCCGGGCCCCGCCTGTCCCGACGTGGTCCGGCCCAGCCCGCGCACCCTGGAGTCTGGGCCCCGCCAGGCCCGCCACACCCAGCGCCCGGCGCGCCCTCCCTGCAGGCCTCGGCCCGCCCCCCGCCTCGAGCGTCCGCGGCTCTGCCTCCCCGTGGCGCCGGCCGTCGGGCCCGCCTCCGAAGACGTGGAGCGCCGCTGCGGCCGGTGAGTGGGGGAGGGGCCCGCAGCCCCTCTCGTCGTCGGCGGCGCGGAGCCGGGGTCCGTGTGGGACTGAGCCCCGGCTGCCTGGCGGCGGCGGCGGCGGCGGCGGCGCCGCGCCTCCAGGGGCGCCTCCCACAGCCCTTCCTTCCCGGGGTACCTCCCCGGGGCACCTCCCCGGGGCAGTGTCGGGAATGGGGAAGTGGGACCGGGATGGGCGCAGATGGGGGTTGGGGAGGGAGGACTGAAAGTATGGGGGGGTGGCAGGCGCAGGTGGGGGCTGGGGAGAGCCTATAGGAGTCTGGGATGGAGGGCTGAGTATTGGAAGAAACGTGGTGAAGCCGAAAGCTGGGACTTTGGTCAGGATGGGGACTTGGGGTCTTCGGAGCTCAGGGGAGTGAGGTCGTGGGTGGGGTTGGGAAAGGCGGCCAAGCCTATCGAAGGACGTTTTTTGGAAGGACCAGCTCAGCGGCGCAAGATTCACGTTTCTCGGGCCGCCTGGGGAGCAGGGACGCTTGGGATATGTCCGAACTAGTGTGGCTGCCGCGAACTTGCAGGGTCATGCTCCCTTTCACATCGGGGTGATTGGGTTTCCGGGCTCTCCACTGGCACACGTAGTACTTTTTAAGCAATAAATGCAAGTCAGGGGCAGTGCCTGGGACACCTGAGAAACGTGGATGGAATCGAGCTCTCCTCCTATAGGCTGCTTCTGTTTTCCTGCTGCCTGCCCAGCGCCGGACTCGGTGCGCGCCGTCTGCTGCAGAAGGCTGTTCCAGCAGCCAGGACAGTGCACAGAGGTTCCGGGCTTCAAAAGGACAGCGGAGGTTTATTCGGACTGCAAAACGGTTGTGGCCCGTGCCCTTAAATCCTGCGGTTTAATTTCCAAAACTCGAGTCCTGTGGCGTCTTTCAAAAGTCACATCTTTACTCTCTGCCTGCTTTCGATTTGAAGTCTCCCACTAACTTACAGAACCAGATATTTTCTAAGGGCCCATTCTGTGAGGACACCTAGTTTTAAATTCACCGTGGGAAGTAGATCATGTGTGTTCTGACCAGCTTTTGCTGAAAGAATTGCGGAATTGCCGGTGAATGAAATTTAAAAGATCTAAAGTAATGCAAGGGAATAGAACGGGCCTAGTAAATTGGTGTGTGTGCTTAAAAAAAAAAAGCCAGTGAAACTTTTTTTCATTGTAGAACCTTAGAAGATAGAGAAAAGAGTATAAGGATGGAAATGAAAATCCCATGTAATTTAACCAACCCTCTTAACATTTTGGTGCAATACTCCTTCGTTCTTTTTGTATTTTATTGTGTATTAAATGTACATGTTACATAATTGGGGTCATATTGTTATATTACTTTGTTGTCTGCTTTTACCCCTGCTTGGCATTTCCCCCGATCGTTAAAAATTCTCCGTAAACGTCTTTTTATATGGTTGTGTGATCGTCGTATGGATTCATGCTTTTATCACATATCAGAGCTTTAGTTTTGAGTCAAGTGCTATGCTTGCAGGTGACATGCAGTGTTGCTCCAGGGTTTCAGACGTGATTCCAGAGCAGACAGGAAGTGTGAATGAGAGGAGGTCAGTCCTGGCAAGGCCCCGTTGGGTGCTTCTGTGCAGAGGTGGCCTTCTTGGTGCAGCATCTCTTTAGGCCTAGGCCTGGGCTGCTGTGGCCAGGCTGCCTTCCAGTATGTCTGTCTCGCCTCTCCTGCATCTTCCGGTGCGATCCTGATGCCATCAGGTTCCCAGATGTGTTTCCCACATGGGCCTCACCAGCTTCCTTACCTCCTCAGTGTCGCCGAGAAACTCTAGTGCGGGTGGGTGTGTACGGTGTGCTGACTTACCACTCCCAGATTTGCACACCTTATGTAACTCGGAGAGGCAGCTGCCCTGGGTCTCGAGGAAGGAGTGTCTCCCAGTTGTCCTCGTCATTAGCAGCCTGTTGCAGTTTTCAGAAGACGGCTCTGTTTTCTTACCCTCAGGGCCTCCAGAAGGGTCCTGTCCTTCCATCTAGCCCCGGCCATTAAAATTGCACCTTTTCTCCTCGGGGAAATCCCTCTCATTTTCCAGCTCAATCAGTGTGGCCCTTCGTCTTTCTCTCAATGATCTGTTCCTGTGCTGCTTCGTGACTGAGTAATTTTGGTTTATGTTTCTCCTCGGGTCTGAAATACGGTGATTTCTGAAGATACCTGTGCATTTCCTTCTAACTAGCCTTTGGATTTATAATTCCATTGGCTCCCCCCACCCCCAAGCTCAGGAAGAGAATACAGAGTCTCCTATTCTTTTCTTGATCCTTGATAAAAGATGCATGTACTCCCGGCCCCATGGCTGAACTCACAGTGTGTTTATCTTCATATGCGCATTGCAGCCACTATGGTCAGGATTCACCTCTTCCTGTAGGCACGTGATTGCAGTAGCTAATGTAAAAGCGCCTGAATCCAGTTCGTTTTTAGGCCTCTCTTTGGCGCTGTGTGCAGTACAACACACGGTAAGAACAGAATTTGGGACGGCTGTCCTGTGCCCCAGAGTGTCTCTGGAACCTGTATGCTGTGCCTTTTAGTCATTCCTGGCTGCTGTCCTGGTTGACAGCTTGGGTGAAAGGGGGGCATTGGTTGTGGTTGCAGAAATCGTTGTACCGTCCGGTGCCCAAGAAGACTACATATGTTGGATCATTGTTTTTTAGATTGGCCCCCACTGGGACCACGAGCCTCTTTTCTGTACCCACACTTCGCGCCCTCATGTGCCCCCCTCTGGTATTTTGGTCGCGTGTATTTATTAGTCATGTGCATGGTGATGATGGTAGACCAAGCTCCCATGAAGACCCTCTGGTCAAAGTAGATTGCAGAACTCAGCTTAGGCCAAGGCTGTCCTGAGGCTTCTTGTTTTTACTGCCTTAGACTTGCTCTTCATGCCATTGGGCCCGCCGGTGGGGAGAAGCGGTTTAGCACAGGCCCGGATTCCGCTGGCCAGTGAATTGCAACACTGAGTGCTCCGTACCTGCACCCTGCTGCGTGCAGAGCACAGGGGCAGGGATCCCCCAAGGAGAGAGCATCCCAAAGGTGTTCCTATATAGAGACAGAAATTCCCTGAGCAATGGGTGCCCCTCGGTGGGTTACAGGGACGGGAAGAAGACCGCACAGAAGGTGTGGCGCGGCGGGAGGGGGCGTCTTAGGTCACCAGGGTGGTAAGTTCGTTGTGGCGCGGTGGCTGGCCTGAACGCAGAACAGCTGAAAGCAAGCGTGAACAGAGCAGAGTGGGCCTTCAAGGACTGTCACCAACAGTGTTGAGCCTCGAGGGCATTTTATGTGCGGGAGCCTCAGAGGGATCAAGGCTTCCTGAGCTCCACCAACAAGCCTTCACGGACACTCTTTTCCCGAAACCTGGCACGGTTCAGAGCAGAGTCCAACCAACACTGGCCCTGGAGTTAGTCTGTGAGACTTTCAGGGAGCTAGGCTTGCAGCTGCCCAGCGTGGCCGGGCCGGCGTTTGTTCTAATGACAAGACTGTAAAACTGACTTTGTTGACTAAGTTCACAAAAAGAAAAAAAAAGGAAAAGGTCTTTTTCATACTGCCTGGTTATCATTCAGAGAGCACTGGATTTCAGTCTGTGTCTGCCATGCTGGTTGTGTGATTTCGGACCTGGTGAATATGATACGGTGAGGTCACGGGACCAAGTGACCCCTAAGGCTCCTTCTGCTCTAAACATCCTATCGTTGCCCAGCTCCACTGGCGCTTTTGGCCGCCTCCTTCTGGATAGGACGGGATGTGCCTATGTGCGGAGGCGTTTCATTTTATATGCTGTCGGACGGAAGGCTTTTCGTTGTTATCGAGCCTTCATTCAAAACAATCTTTACAGTTGGGCAACTTCTTTTTTACAAAGTTGGTATCTTTTTAATCTGGGACTAAAGCAAATTATCTCGTATTATACAGTTTTCCAAGTATCGTTTGGCCTTTCCTAAAGGGTACATTTTACCCTTACTTTTAAAATGTCGGACCTCTATACTGTGTTACAAGTGTAAAAGCCATTTTTTTCTAATTATAAGAAAAAAACCCTTGCCTATTAAAATTCGAATCAAAAAGAGAAACGTAAAGAAGAAAATAACAATCATCTGAAATCCTACTACCTAGACATGACAGTTGGGAGAGATATATCTGCCTAATCATCGATGGGATATTTATTCAAACGCACACAGTATAGAGTGAATCGTGAATGTAGCCACACGTGGTTAAGGGTGTGAACTCTGGCCTCAGGGTGCCTGAGGTTAGGCTCTTCTGCTCGCTGCCATGTGACATTGGACAAACTCCTTAACCTCTTTGACTTCAGTTTTCTCATCTGCTAAATGAAAGAGTTTCTTTTTCATGGGGTTGATGTGAGAATTCAAGGAGTAGCCCATGTAAAGACCCCAAAGTTAGCTAGTGTTGAGGTGGCGGCGTAGGAGGGCGCTGGGCTCACCGCGTCCTGCCGATCGCTTAGATTCCACCCACATCTGCCTAATAACCCAGAAAACCGCCAGAAGACTAGCAGAACGGAGTCTCTGGAGCCAAGCGTAGACGAGAGGCCCACGGAGGAGGGTAGGAAGGCCGGAGAGGTGTGCGCACTCCAGGGACTGGCGGGAGGGAGCGGGGTCGGTGGAGGGGCAGCCCGCCTGGCGAGGCGGAGCCCCCGAGCCTGGCTTGCAAAAGCGGAGGGGCCGGACTGCGTGAGTTCTGACAGCCAGTGGGACTTAACATCTGGAATGTTAAAAGTGAACAGCTCTGCTCGGAGAGTGAGAGGGCTAGAGGACAACGGGAGGGAGAGTCGTTGAGCCCCGGAAGACAGAGCTCAGCTCGTGGGGAACAAAGGCACTGGCCAGCGCCATCTCCCTTTCCCATCCCCCAGCCGAAACCCCAAAGGGAACCAGTTCACCGAACTTGCTTGCACCGTGCAAACACCCAGTGCTGTGCTTCTGTGGATCCATCCCTCCGATGGGTCTGCCTCCCTCCCGGTCGCTGCAGGGCCCCTCCTGCAGT